GCCAACCCGCCCGCGCCGGGCACTGCCTCCGACGGGTGCGGCTGGGGGCACCGGGAACCACGGCGAGCCTCTTGCCAAGGAGCCGTCTGCGCAAACCCGGGAACGCCGCACGGGTTGCAGATTAAACCGCAGGTATTCCAGGATTAGCAATATTTTCTGCTTTCTTACCTGAATCTCATGAACGGCTTAGCTAGGTGAGCAGGCGACCCGGAGGTGCAATGAGTTACGTCATGGAGCGATCGGCGTCGCATCTGCTTTGGCAGACTCCTACGTGAGGCACGCAAAAGAAGCCAGGCTGAACAGAGAGGGGGTTTGTGTCGAAGATGCATCAGCTCTCTGTTCGCCTTCTCCCTCACGCCCAGGATGGGAAGCAGACACGCCGTCGGACGCAGGAGCTGACAACCACAAATCTCCAGCGCAGGAAAAAAGTTAAATACAAACAGCACGTCCAGGCAGAGTGTGTGCGGCCTTTCCGCTTCTGCTATGGGATTATGTACATATTTAAACAACCAAAACCCACCAGCTCCTCTTGTGTCCCGCATAAGCCCGTTCACAAGAAAAAGCAGCCAAGAAACTGAGGACAGAAAGCCCCAAACAGCTACAGTTTTGGCAAATAGGTGTTTCTTGAAAAGTCCTGTTCGATCCACTTCAAAAGGCAAAGGTGAGTCTGCTAAAGGTGTTTCAGCTTCACATTAATTGCTGTGTGGTGCTTTCCCTGGAAGAAAATTCCTCTCTAACGCGTTAGACTCCAACTTTAAAAAAGGAATATTCGACTTGCCTTTGAAAATTCTGCTCTTGGCTTCATTTGTATTGGGCTGAGCACATGCAGTATCACAGCCAGCTGAGTTATTGCCTCCTGGTGCCATGTACAATGGTCCTTCACAAGCAGGAGGTATCTCCAATGGAAACTCAAGCACAGCCTTATCTGTCCCAGCCCTGCTGCCATAACAGACAATAGAACTTTTTTCCACCACCAACAGATGATTTAATGTCCTATGTGTAAAGACTTGTTACAAAGCAGAGGGAAGAAAATACGGATTTACTCACATTTCTCTCCAGTCAAAGCTTCGGTTAGCAGCCCCCGGACAGCCCTCTCCCCGCCAGCGCAGCCCGGCTCCGTTCCCTGTCCCCGGCTGGGTGTCCCGGTGTCCCATCCCGCTCGGCGGGTACGGGGAGGTGAGCTTTTCCAGTTCTCCGCGCAGGACCCAGGAGTCACAACAACGACCCAAAAGGCTCGACTAACAGCAAAGCTTTGCTTGGAATTCAGCGAGATGACAAAAGATGGTAACTTTGCAATTCCATAAATGACGTTACTTTTAATGCAGTGGGGTGAGATTTAGCAAAACTTACAATTAGCTACAAAATATAGCAGATTGACAAACTTACATTACCCTTTTGAGCCTAGGAAATCAGAGATAGAAAAAGAGGAAAACAAAAGGAAAAAGTAAGAGAAAAGATACCACCCCCGTGGATCCAGTGACGGTCTCTGCTGATGGTCGGGGTCCTCCGGCGGTGGGTGCACACCAAGGAGCTCGATTTCAGGGTTTTCAGCCTGGGTGCGCGGTAGTTTTCCCACAGATCAAGCACAAGCACAGGCAGCAGCACTTTGGCTAACACGCGGTAAACATTTCGAGCAACAGTTATCAGTGCTTTTACAGTTCGACTTCATCACTCTCTTCTCTCCTCCGTCCTTACATGTCTTGTCTGCGTTTAAAGACGTAGTGTTCCCAAAACTCACTGGGCACGCTCCGTGAGTAATGGTCTTTGCTCGGGCCGGGGTCTCCAGCTCAGAGCGTGTGATTTTTAACAATATAATGAGGGCAGCTCACCCTCCCAGGGCAAACCTCTCGGGGGAGCGGTGCTGGAGGCACTCGCGCGATGCGGCAGTGCACCCTTCCTGCAGCACCCGCTCGGGGGGATCCCTGTGGGTGCCATGCAGGGGGGGCTTAGCACCCCCATGCTGCAGCCACCAGCCACCCCAGAGGAATGCTGGCACAGGGATTTGCGCGAGAGACTCGCGGCAGAAAGCACTTGCTTTAGCCCTCAGACTGCACCAAATGACTCCTCCTGCTCACAGACTTTCAGGGGCTTACCGTTCAGAGGAGAAAGGCAGGTAGGGTGGCTTCATGGACATTAACGGCCTCAAGCTGTGTCAGGGGAGGTTCAAACTGGATATTAGGAACAATTTCTTTACTGAAAGAGTCATAAAGAATGGGACCAGGCTGCCTAGGGCAGCGGTGGGGCCACCATCCCTGGAGAGGCTCAAAAAACGTGTAGATGTGGCACCTGGGGACATGGTTTAGCAGGCACAGGGGTGTTGGGGTGACAGCTGGGCTTGCTGATAACACAGGTCTCTTCCAACCTTAATGATTCTGTGATTAAGGAGAACAGCATATAAACCTGAGCACTCAACACAACAGAGGCTGCTTTTTCTGTTTCAAAGCAGGATGCGCAGTTTATTGTCAGGCAGGCAGGCAGCAGCAAAACATTTAAGCCTAAAGCAGATAAACAACGCATCAGAAAGCAGTCCTGAGGCCATCTCTGACAAGACACCATGGGCAGTCCCTTCTCCATGTCCCCAGGCAGCCCTCGCCTTGTCCTTCGCTGGGGGCTCCTCCATCGCCCAGTGGGACGCAGGCAGAGGAGGGGGCTGCCCGCTCCCTGCCCACATCCCAGGGGTCGCAGCAGGTCCTTCCCGAGCCCAAGCTCGTACCAGCATATTACTGCGTCGGCCTCTTCACCCGTTATAGTGAAGTCGGGTCAGTCAATTGGAGAGCATGTTCTGCTGCTGTAAGGATTCTGCAGGGATGCTGGGCAGAGACCTGGCCCCTCGTTAGCGCCTGTTCCATTATCGGAACTGTTAATGAAGTTCTAACTGTGAGGCCCAAATTACATCTCAGACTATACATTCTGCTTGCACTAATAAATAATTACATTGAAGTTAAATAAATCTATGCTTTGAAAAGTGACTGCGAAAACGCCAATATGAGCCTGCATAGCTGTCCCAGTGATGCACGAAGGCAAATTTCAGTGAAGAACTAAATCAATAGTTTTTCTTATTTTCACTTCCGCGAGCTGAATCCAGCTTTAATATCAAATCATGAAAGAACCTGCCTGCACACACACACACGGAGATACCTTCGCTGTCTCAGTGCTTCCACAAAACGCCTGTAAGACCAGCAGCCAAACGTGACAGCTTTCTGCACTCCTCGCAAACCAAAACAGCAGCCTAGCCCCTGCCTCGCTGCTGGCAGCGCCAGCAGAGCCTTCTACCCAGCCGTCTGCATACCCTCCTTCTTTGGCACATCCGAGATGCAAACCCTTATCAAACCAGCTGTAAATGTAAATTGTCCCAGTTGTTTATTCTGAAAGGTAAACCTCCCAGGAGATGCAGAGTTTGCAAACACTTCCACAAAGATGACTCAGCCTTGACCCCCAGACTGCGTTGACCATGTGGATTGGTGCCCCGGCACATTTGATCCAAGCCTAAGTCCAGCCCAGCATCAAGTTCTGGCTCAGAAAGAAGCTGTTAGAGAGCAGCACATTCTCCCTCCAAGAACTACCATGATGATCTTTTATTTACAGCACCAACAGGCCGTAGCATCTCCTGCTATGAGAGCATGGTTTCCCGCTGTACTGTTGTGACTGAGCATCAAGTCTGGTTTGCTGGAGTCAGATCAGCAGAAGGAGGTCTCCTGCACCAGAGGGTAACAAGTGCACTTCAAGGAACACAATCAGCTCACACACATTCTACAGCACAAAAAGTTATCTAAAAAAGGCACTATGCACTGGGGACTGCTCTCCCCAAGAGAGTTTCCTTCCCCCCCTCCCTGCTACAAGAGGTCTCCTTCTTTGTTCATTTGCAGGTGGCTGTCAACCTGCTGAAGAGCTGCCTTATTTTTGCCATCAACATCTCTCTGAAGTGGTCACCCATTAAGAAATAGAAAACAGGATTAATGGCACTATTTAAAAACGCAATGGGTCTCGTGATGATGTAGATGGTGTTGATGATCTCCTGCGTGCAGTTGGGTATGTTCAAGGCTGGTATTCGGGTAGCAAGTCGGACGTTGCGCATGATGTGGTAGGGAGTAAAGAGCAGCGAGAAGATAACCACTGTGAGGACAACTAAAGTAAGAGGTTTTTCAAGTGTCAGGAGGGAACTGAGTTGCTCACTCCTGTTTTTGAGAAAAAGAACCATTTTCACACCGAAGCTGCACATGATCACGAGAGGGATAAGGAAACTAAAGACAGTCAGAAACATGCTATAGATGAGGCTTTTCCTGGGGTCTCCAGAGCTTGCGTAATCAAGACAATTATTGGCAGGCATTCCAGTCTCCAGGAAGAATATCAACGGCAGCAGTTCCAGTATCACCCCGACCCACACGGCAACAGACACGATAAGGGCCGCTTTCCTCGTCTGTAGAAAATGGTCTCTGAAAGGATATTTCATGAGCATGTACCGGTCAATGCTGATCACGGTGAGGAAAAGGATGCTGCTGTACAGGTTTGCGTGTAACAGGAATCTGTTGCTGTGGCACAAGATGCTCTGCTTTGTCCACTGATCTCTGGAGTAATTGTTCACGAGTACTGGCAGAGTACACAGAAATAATAAATCTGATAATGATAAGTTGAACAGGTAGATGTTGCCGCTTTTCCAGTTTTTCAGGCAGAAAATGTAGCCGAACACAACAATGATGTTTCCAGTGAAGCCTAAAATGAACTCAAGGCTGTACATGGTAGAAAGATAATACTTTTCCAGGACTTCGTTAGTCTGAAAACAGCCACCTGTCTCGTCCATAGCCTGGAAGGTCAAGAGGGAAAAAAAAAAACCACACACCAAAAATTAGTCAAAGGTTATTGCATGGCTATTTTCATATTGTTCCCGTAGTAGGTGAATACAGCATGCTATTGCCTCGCAGCTGATGTGGTAGGTAGAGACTTGAATGCAAAGAATATCCCTTCTGCACACAAGATTTCTACTTTCAACTATTGACCAGAGTTACTGAGCAAGATGAAAACTTGCATGAGCAACCACCTGTGTGAGGAGCCTGAAAAAAGAGCATCACTTGAAGGCATCTGCCATAACGTGCCAGCTGCTGCCTGGCCAAAGCCACAGCAGCACCAGAGGCTGGGAAACCGAAACGCGCCTGTCACCGCTGTGTCACGGCCCTTGCTGGAAGTCATCTGCCTCCCTGTTTCCCAACTCCGGTCCCGTGGTCTCCTCACTCATCACTGAAGCAGAAGTCCACTGTCAAGACTGACGAAGGATGAACTCAGCAGCAGCAACACGGCCGTGCTCTGACAGCGTCAGTCAGAATTCAAGAAGTCAGGAGAGGACGTGTTTGTTAGATTAATTGAACCATTCGTCGTGCACTTTGCATGGGTTTGCTGGTAGCTCAGTACCAGAATTGCCTGGAAGGTGTGGTGAGGACGAAGCACATAGCCTGTGCATCATGGCGGGTGTGCCTGAGGGCTTCCCAGCCATCCCTGCAGGCACGGGACATTCCTGCTCCTGGGGCTCTACTGGTCTCTTCTGTTTCCTACAAAAAGCCCTCCAGAAGGGAGGGTTCAGTTAGGACTGAGTCCTAGTTCATATGGCAGTGACTGCAGTCCAGGGGACAGCACAGTCAGGACGAGGATAAAACGCCCTCGAAGCCCAGTTCACAAGCCTGAAGTCACTTTTGTTCTTAGCTTCCTAGCAGGTGAGAACCCGGCGTGCAACAGATTGACCCACAGCTCCTCACCGAGCAGCCCACACACCACGCACCCCGCCGCACC